TGTGCAAGTATTCAGGTGTTCTGATGAAGAAATGTTATAGAAAGAAAAAAGAAATGGGGGAGAGGAGTGGAAGAAGAGAAGAAAAAGAGAGTATATACAACAGGAGGACAAGAGAAAGAAATGTTATGTATGTATATATGTCAAAAGAAGTAAGAGAAAAGATCCTTTTGCTGAGACTGTATTATACGAAATAGACTCAAAGAGTCTACCTTTACCTTCTTTTACTTTCTTTCTTCTTCTTCTTCTTCCACCTGTTCTCATCTATCAATGGCATCAGCCGCTGGCAATACAAATGGACCAAAAAAACGACATACGTTTCTTAGTCATTTTCTCTCCACAAGAAATTTGTCAATATTTCGAAATAAACCATCAACAACAGTGAATAATACTTTACCTATTTCAAAAGAATCTCCCCATTACAAGTCGCAAATTAATATCAATACACAACAAACACCAGTACCGATGTGTATAGGACGTGGTTGGCTTAAAAAACGTTTAAAACGTCCTGTTTCACTTGATCTTGATCTTGTTCAAACTTTAACACAACATTCACCAATCAACAACTATGAAGAAACAGTAGAAGAATATCATCAACTACCATTAAATGACATCGGTACGATAATGGATCGCTTGCCTGCTTTTGTATATTTATCTCTTCATAGGAAATAGCAAAGAAAGAAATACAGATAAGACAGGGATATCGATCGCAAACCAGATAGTTGACATACCAATAAACCAATCGGGTAAATATTCTCTAAACAATAGATAACCTTGAAAATGTCACTATGTCTTTAGTTAAAAATAGGTTTAAAATGAAAAGTCTTTTTCTTATTCTATTTATAAAAAAAATATAAATCACAAACGAAACGAATTGTTCTCATAAGTACATATACCGTATATACACACATAAGAATCCAACCGTTTTTTGTGTATATACTTTTTCTTTTCTTTTCTTTTCCTTCCCCTTTCTTCTTCACTTTTTTCTTTTTGTTAAATTTGATCATATGCAAATTGATAATAGAAAATGATCTATGCGTCAATGCATTTCAAGTGATGCATGTTGTATATGTGAGTAAAGTGAACTTGAAAAATCAAGGCAGAGATAATCGAAAAGACGAAATCAAAAAAAAAAAGAAAAAGAAAATCAAATATAGACATAGTTTTATGTAATTATAGATAGAATAGAACATATGGTTATTTTCATAGTAATTTTTAATAGTTTTGTCCGTATAACTAGGACAAAAAATCTTAGTCTAATGATTGGGATTATATCGAATAAATCGTCGCGCGAGATACGTTTCACTGATTTCTTGACGAATGTTATAACACATTTGTTCCATAATATATATATAAATAGATGAAATATTTAATGATTGTTTTTTGTTATTTGTTATTTAAAAAAAACATGTCGAAAAGAATATTCTCACGTACACAACATTGGAATATTTCTTCATCAACTAATAACCTTAATATTCTACCAAATTTAGCATTTCGAACTTGTTCATTCAAATATCAGAAAAGGCAATTAACATCGACATGTATAGTATTTATTCGTTACGGTATGTGTTAATGATGGGAGTATTCCTTGATTGAGATTCATCACCCTAATAATTAATGAAGTTGTCTCAAGGCAATCAGTAGACATATGCACAAAAATTTGTTTCATTTTATACAGATATAAGTAAAGAAAAACTTCGTTTTTTTTCTTCTTTCTGTACGAAGGTTTTGTACGTATAGAAATAGTGTGAATGACAAAGTACTATCAAAAAAGATTTTATTTTCTAATTTTAATAGACTCAAACATAAACTATATTGTGTTGTATGCCAATGTATATTTTGCCCTTTGTATTCATTTGTGAATTGTTTTTATTTCATTTACGTTTGAATAACATACGCGTGGTAAAGATTATATAAGACTCTTGAGCATTATCACCCTAAAACAACGTCATTATGTGATAATATTACAGAGCTTTATTATATACCGGTGCAATGTTAGCATCATCACAAGAATAGTAAATACAGGAAACAAAAAAAAGGAGAAAAAGAGAGTGATGGTATTGCTCTTCTTCCTCTTACTAATGTATATGTACTATTCTTTATTTCTTTTTCTTCCCCTCTCTAATTTCTGCCTCTTTTTTTTCCTTCTATCCTTTACTGGTCCTTCCTCACATCATCAACATCAATTGCACTTACATATATTCTCGTTCTCTCTGCGCCTCTCTGCCTCTCTCTCTCTCTCTCTGTCTCTCCTTTCTCTTACGGTATATACGTACAAGTTTTTTTATGATGACGTCCCTGTATATACGCCGTCACTCTCCTACTACTCCTCTTCTTCATCACGCGGACTACGAACGAAGAGGAGAAGAAGGTGAAGATTGAGGATGATGATTACATTCATTGTCTAGCCTGATATAAAACTACACCATATAAATTGTGTGCTCAAACAAAGATACAATGGACTCACGATATCATTTTTCAGCAACGATGCCCAATCGTTATGAACAACTATCATACAATACTAATCCGAATAGTAATAATATGAACAATGAAAATCGCTCTAATTCAATGTCATCGCGTTATTTTCATCGAAATCCACCTGTTTTCCCTCCACATCATCAACATCGTATACGTACTCCGCCACCACTATTTTCCTCATCATATTTAGGCCCATTACAACAACATCGGCCACGCTTTCTTTCTGCATGGGATCTTACACCAACACCAAGTATTTATCTTTCGTCACGCAATATTGCTACGACTACACCCACACCAACATCAATACCAACACCAACATCATCAGTACCGAAACAATATGAGGAGGGTGCGTGTATCTTAAACAGTTGTGTCTTTTATTTCACTCGTTAATTAGGTGCACATACCAAAAATTGTGCAACAATTCTCGGATTTCTTCTTTCCCCCATCTTCTTCTTCTCAGTATGCGAATACGTATAGAAAACTTCTATATTGATTATTTACTAGAACACACACACTACAAAGAGTATCCACACATATATATGCGTATATACACACACATATGTGCAAGATAATCTTTAGCCTTCGTATAGGATTGAATTTCGTTATTAGATGAAATGAACTGATTGTACTTGAATATGTATAATATACTAGTGAATCTTCGGGCTTCACAATTTTTCGACATTCTTATATTGCTTCATCGATATGCAATATGTATTAAGTAAATGTCAGAGTATAAAAAGAGTGTCAGCTATCCTTGATAAATCTGACAACAAAAATGATTGTTCACATTATATTGTGACAAGGTTTATAAATATCAAAAAGAATAAAAAAAAGAGAGAGAATCATTTTTCTATTCGTTTTTTTTTCTATTGACGAATTTAATATAAATTAGAATCAGTAGTATTTTAAGATCTTGTTTGCTTTTAAACATAGATATAAAAAAAAAGAATTTTGACCATCAAACCAAAACATCCTTCTTCTTTTCACCGATTACTTAAACATTCATATACATATCATCGCTTGTTGTATTATTTCTATTGTCTTGACACGAGAAACGACGTCAATAAAGACGTTGATCGATTCTCAAGCCGTAAAACCACATCTATATACAAAAAAAAGTGTCTGATTGCTTTTTTTTTCTTCTTCTTTTGACGGAGCAAACGAACGAGCAAACGCCTTTATTGCTCAGAAGGTCATTCGAATATATAAGCGAGCGAGCGAAGCAAATAACGTGTGTATATAGGTTGTCAAGCATACCATTTTTCTTTTCGATTTCTTTTTTTCTCTCTTTTTGTTTGATCGTTCAACTAAGGCAATGTATGATTATATTTAATTGAAACTAGATTTGATCCATAATTTATAATCAAATGAATATTTACAAAAATCGGCTTTCTTTCTTTCTTTTTTGCCTCCGAAAGAAATTTATCCTTAATGAATATTTCTCTCAAAATAGTTCTTAATTATTATCATCAATTAGAAATGACAGAAACTAGTAATATCGAACAGAAATCAAAAATCTAATCTATTAAGTAATTACTATTTCTTTTCTACTTGATTACTAGTTATGTTTTATCATATGTCAAATATGTTGTTAACTGATTTTGATAAACAATTGTTTTAAGATGATAAAATCATTTTTAACTATTTTTAATGAATAAGATCATTTAATGGATAAAAATCAATACGTACATAAATGAAAAGTTAACGATCATCATTAGACAACAAAAGAATGTTGTTTGCTTTTTCATCTACTAATGAAATCTCTTAATAGAAATGATTGATGAAATACAAAGAACGAGATTTTGTGTATGATAAATCATAGTTACTAATTGTCATAGAAACAAAGAATTTGTTTCAATACGCTTTCTTTGTGTTATAAAGAAGAAAAAAGATTATATTTCAGTTATAAAAATCGAACATTATACGATCGTAACTTTCTATTGACAAATTTATACTATCAAAGTAGCTTTTCATAGTTCTGTTGTTAAAGTAACAGTGGTCGATGGACAATGAAGTTTTATTTTTATTCTAAATAAAGATAGACATGTAACGACCATTAATAGGATTAGAGAATCGACATAGACGTACGTGTATATATATAGAGAGCGAGAGATTTTGTTGACATTTACTGATTAATCGAGTATGCTAATGAATTGACTTGCCATACATATCCTATCAACTAAATACAGACATACAACGTTAGCAAAAAAAAAAAAGATCAGTAGGTATCAGCTGCTGTCCTAATGTAATTTATTAGAGAATAGAATAAAAAAAGAAACTGCGGTTTATGTTTTTTTTAAATGTTTTTCTGCCGTTTTTATTCAAGAGGCCAAGAAAATTTGAATAACGATTTAATATGAATAACAACACTTGTTAGGATTTGCTATGACATTCGAAGCGAATAGAAAAAAAATATTTTATAAATATGAATAATTCATAAAAATTTGTTTTCTTTTCTCTACCTATTTAGACCGTACGCAACTTCAAGCAATGCCTACCAAAGATTTTGCTGATTTAGTTATGTTACCACGCGAATGGCGTCGTGGTGATGATTGTATTCAATGGCCACGAAATCATGATTATTATAATATTGAATGGCTTGAAAATCTTTGGAAATATATTAATGAAAAACTTCCTACTGATTTATCAATGCTTGAAAATACCAATATACTTTATTTACAACCTTTATCACGTCCATTAGGTGCTTCAACAGCTAATAATAGTATATCCTTATATAAATTATCAAAAAATATCGGTCTGATACAATTACCAATTGTGCCAAGTAAAGATGATTTAGCTATACAAAAAGTTTTATTAAAATTAAATTTTTATTGTATTGAACCATTTCCTGAGATCATTCGTCGACATAAATCTATTGATGAATATGTACCACAATTATCATGTTTAGGTTTATTACAAATATTTAAATGTCGTTTAAGACATTTTACACAATTAAAAATTCAACATGAATTTAATACATTATTAAATGAACATGATATGAAATTATTAAGACAATATTTATCAAGAATAATGACACAACAATTAGATGATGCAAATATTCAATGTATTAAACAATTACCTATATTTGATAATGCATATTTAGGCGTTGATTCAAATCAACAACAATATAAATATATAAGTTTAAATAATATTTTATATATTTATGAATCTGGAACGAAATTACCTTGTGATTTACAACCACCTAAACAATGTATACATGTTACAGATAGTGATTCAAGAATATTATTAGATAAATTAGGTTATGTTATTCATGATTTCACTCATGTTGCAAGATATCTTATAACAACAATTGGACAACAACAACAATTAAATATCCAACAGCAACAACAACAACCAAATGCATCTACAATAAATACAACATTTAAGAATGATCAACAAAAAATGGCATTTTTAGGTAAATAAATATAACAATCGAACAAAGAAAAAGACCTTGAGCTAAATCATAATCATTTGCTTATTGAGATATTATTAATTATGTCTATTGTATACAATTGTTTCTTTCGAAAATAGTCTATTATCGGATATATCTTTATATAGAAGTCTATCAATCATTTATTAGAAAATGAAAGTATTGGTTAAAGTTTCTTGTCTTCCGATAAGAGAAAACATTTAGGAATTTCTATTTTATACCAGAAAAAACTTTGAACAACTTGATTAAGTTTGAATATAGACTAGACTGACACAATTATGCTGAACAAGGTGACAATTCATAAAGTCTATGCATGAGTAATTTTTTTTCTCTCAAGGATAATAGTCTGCCCTTCTTCTGTCCAATTCACCTTAACTTATTTTTGTACTAAAATGTACTTGAAAATTTAATTTTTTCTGCTTTAAGGTAAATGGCTTTTATCGAATTGTGCAAATTTAATTTTAACAGATGTTGTTTGTCAAGATACATTATCAACAAGTCGCTTATTTTCGAATCGTAAAGGTGAACTTTGTTCATGTCAACAAATGTTTGATCCAGCATCATTTCATATAAATAATAAAGAAAAATTTTTAATTTTATTTGAATCAAAATATTTACCATCAATTGATATATGTTCAACAAATGAACATCTTACATTACTTAAACATCTTAAATTAAAACAATTTTATGATATTAAATGTGATGAATTAATTGATATATGTGAATTAACAATAAAAGAATCAGCAACAAATGGTAAACGTTCATTAATGTTTTTACTAGCTGATTTTATCATTGATATATTAAATCAAAATGCAAAATTAATTGATGATTATTCTCAAACAAAACGAATAAGTCTTAAACAATATTTAAATATAACACAATGGATACCAGTAATGCTTGAAAGACCAACTACATACCCATCAACATTAACATGGCAAGGTAAATCACTTAGCTTCTTCTATTTATTGTATTTTGAAAACAAAATAACAATCTTTGTCTAATGGAAGAATTAAACTTTTATAGTTTAAATCAACAAAAACAAAGTGCAATTTAATACTTGAGTTATTGATAATCATTTCTTTGATTTCGTTGAAAGTAGTCACTCATTTACAGTAAATAAAAAAGGGGCGACATACAATGGCTTCTTAGCATTACTACATATTCGATTTAGTCGTTGTGATTCTCTCTTTTATATCGTTACGATTTGATAAAACGCAGAACTATTGATATTTCATTCGTTAGATCAG